GCGAGGGCGGGAGGAGCCCCGGGGCCCGGGGCGGCGGAGGCGCGGGCTGGGCGGACCCTCGGACGGGCCTGAGCCTGCTGTCGCTGGGGACGTGCCTGGGCCTGGCGTGGTAAGTGGACGCGAGGCCGGCCGGGCCCTGTCTTCGGCCTCGTGGGGTCGCCCCGCTCTTCGGGTCCCACCCGGCTCCGCATCCCGCTAGCCTCCAACCCCCAGACTCGCGGCTTTTGTTCCTCTGCCTCGACCCCAAAAGAAGGACCGACTTTTTTTTTTCTTTCGCTTGTTGCTTGTAACTCGTTTTTCCTTTGCTAGTAACATGCTCCAGTTATTGCTCAACTGGAGTGGAGGCTAATGTCAGGGAACGAGTCAGTCATCTGTTAAGAGCTGCAGATTAAGCCAGGCTTTGTTAAGTGCCTGCTACACGTCCGAAGCTTTCATATCCTTGTACACCGTTACTTCTGTCTGCAGTGCAGCTGTCGGGGACTAATTTGTCTCACCCCACCTGCACCATAAATGACTGATGGAAACATTTGCAACCTTAAGGGAATTTATTATGGTCTCAAAGCAACAAACGTCAATTTTATCAGAGTTCGGAGGATTTCTCATATTTCATCAGTTTGCATGCGTTATGAATTTAAAGTCTTTTCGCCCGTTACAGATTGGGTTTTAGTACTGTAAAGCTACAGAAGTACAGCACTTGTGTTCACTTAAAACTAAACATTTATAGTTTTTAAACCGAGTAGATAACAATCTATAGGTGTCAGGAAGAATGAATATTAGAAATAACCTTAAAACCAACTTATTTTATTTTTCCCAATTATTTTCATTAGGAATAACCTATTTAATTTTAATAACAAGACTGATACTTTAATAAAATTTCCCTCCATTTTTGACCAGTTTGCAAAGTATTTAGTAAAAGAGTTATTAATCTTCCGGAATAAAAGAATTCTAGAAGAGACCTTGGACGTCCTCTAGTCTAGAACATTTTTGATGCTAGTACATTTTGAATTATAATTTACTGATGACTCATCCCGAGTTGTGTATTTTTCGAATTTAATAAAAAACTTGTTACAATGAAGTGAAATGTTGTTTATTAAATGTTCCCTTCAAAAAAAGAATATTTTACTAATATGGTATTTCTATTTATGGAATATTTTCATTTTGATCTGAAAAAAATAATTTACAGATTTAAATAAACTGCTCTTAAGCTTTAAAGTGCATGACCTTTAGAAAGATGAAAGAAAAACCTTTTTTCTGTTGGGAAAGTTACTGACTTAATAGAACTTAACAGATTAAAAGATATGTTGCTTCTCTCTGAAATCTAATACAACCGGTTTTATTTGCTAAATTTATTAATTTATTTCTCATTAATTAGCCAACGCTTCATGTTCATGTGAGATAAATTACATCACAAAATGTCCAGGGGAAAAGCTCCAATGGGAAACTAAACTTTGAGGAAGTAAAGCTTGAAAACCAGTTGCTTCAGCTCAGGAATTTACTATTAGGAATTACTGAATGTAACAAAAACATGTTTACATTCAGTAGGAAGATTTAATTTGAGCTATGTCTTTGCAAAGTGATAAAACAATGCTGAATACCCGTTTTTTAAATGGGCAGATTCTGTAACTTACTGAAATAGTTGGCCTTGTTAGTTGCTCTTGTGAAATCTTTTCCCACGAGAATTGGAGTATATATGCTTTGGTCGCTGTTTATAGCAAAACATTTATTTATGGTAAATTTGAGAATAAAAATTTATCCTGGTAAGACACTTGAAAGCTTTTTCCAACTAAAGAGCAAAGGTTTAGCATCTTAAAATACTTAAAAGCACACTAGAGTTATGACAAAGCCATTGAGATCTTTAACACTGGAACACATACTTCAGTGTGGAAGTCAGTTCATCGAATCTTTATTAAATGCCTACTGTACTGACACTGGTTGTTACAACAGTGAATACGTGTACTTCTATGTGTACTCTTTAACAGTGCTTTTTCGTCCTCTCACACTTTGATTAAGTTGTGGGGGGAAAATCTGAACCCTTCCACTGCTTGAAGTAAGATTTCAAGTCGTCACACTCCATCAGTGTCTTTAGACCTTTAATGTTTGGATCTTTGGAAAGTAATCAGAAATAATACATAAACTTAAAAATGTGTTATTTTAATATCTTCTCTCTGCTAAATAAAGTTATGATATATCATCCTATGTAAGATTAACAACAAACACTGGAGGTAACAGTTACCCAAAGCTAGATGGTGTCAGTGTCAGTTTGCATACCATATTTCTAAACCCTTAAGAAAAATTTTCAAATAGGATTGGAGAGATTCTGTTTTCAGAAAGGTAAAAACTTGTGAAGTTATTAAGACAAAACCTTTCACACAAGCTTATTTAATTACATAGAAATTTAACCAACTAGAAATTCCATTGTGAAAACTTTGTTTCTTCTCAGAGTTTCAGCAAATTTTAAAATTGCTTTTATAAAAGTTTTTTATAGCATTTGCTACGTACAAGAGGTCAAAAGATCTTTAAACAAATCATATAATGGTGTTTTTTTCTTATCCAGTATAACTTTCTCTATAAAGCATTTATACTGTAAAATCTTGGCTAACTCCATTTCTGGCTTTTTTCTTTTTTTGTTAGTATAGTTTTCGCTAAAAGACAGGGTTATACTTAAATGTCCTGCTTTTTAAAAAATGGAATGTGGTCTGTGTTTTCCAGAACATTAGGTATTGTGCTAAACATGAAGCTATAGGTAGTATGAAACATAGAGCTAAGTGGGTACTGACCCTAATAGACCTGGAACTTCCTTTCTTTCAGAAGTTCCATAATAACAACTCCCTCTGGTTATTTGCCTCTTTTTCGTTATTAAGTTGAGATAGAGGCGTAGGAAATCCTATATTTACAAGTCTTCTGTCAGCTGTCTGCCACCATTTAAGATTCCTAAAGGAGCTATGCAGAGGCAATGCACACCACTCATTACCACAGAGCCCTAAATCTGTATGAGGTCTCTGTAGACTGCAATAAATTATGAAGGACTCAGGAAGCTTCTTTTTGTAAGGCCTACACTACAAGCCAGTTAATCTCCTGGATCCCTTTCTCCTATATCTAACACTTGAAAGGTGTTACCTATGTGACAGTGAGGTGAGGCCCAATAACAGGGTAAGAGAGTGCTTCTCCTTTAGTGACCTATATGTGGTCTAATCCACCTGTTCCATCCTTCATTTGCTATAAACCGACCCTGGTTATGCTTAGTGTTCAATGGGGGACAGGCCTGGGGCTTCTATCAAGCACAAGTAGAAGGGAGCCCTGCTCCTTTATACAACCAGAGACACGTAGGAGGGATGAAAGAGCAGCTGCACAAAATACTCCAAAAGAAAGGGCCAAGGTAATTAAAGAGAATAACTGATGTGTTACACTCTAGGCATTGTTCTAGGAGCTTTTATAAATATGAACATATTTAATCTCTACAAACACCCCTATGAAGTAAGCATTATATCCCCACTTGACAGATGGGGAAACAACAGCAAAGAAGTTATTTAACTTGCCCAAGGTGGTTACACAGCTAGTAAATGGCAGATCCAAGGTAGTCCAGCTACACACTTAACCAGTATGATATGTCACCTCCCTTTGATATTAATCCAAAAGAGCCCAAGACCTGGAATTAGAGACCCCTAATCCAAAATATTTATGGTTCTCTTCTTCTTTCTAGTAGTAGCTGTACCCCTTAGCAGATCCCAATTATTTGTCTCTTACCCTCATCTAAATGGGAGTATGCACCTGACTCTTGAAATGAAGCAACTTCAGCACTAACCTGGTGCCAATGTGAAAACTTAGTTTTTCATAACTGAAACAGCCTTCTCTCAGTATTCCTTCTTGACTTCTAGAGAATCAACCATCCTCTTCCTTAATGTTAAATGAATTAATATTTATAAACTGCTTAGAATAGTGTCTGGCACATATAAGTGAAAAATAAAATGTATTTTAACTCATCAGCACCATATACACCACTTCATTTTTTTCATTACTAGCACTAAATCAACTTTGTGCTTGATTTTTCTTATATGCACTATTTATATGTAGCAAGGGTGAATCTTTTATTTTGGTAAGAGGCTAATCATAAAAAAAAAAAAAAACTACAAATTATCATCAGAGATGATATTTCCACTAACAGGACACAGTTTTCTTCAAGCTTTTGCTTAATGCTTCAATTTGACAAGTCCATAGATAGACAGCATTAAAAATATTTAATGAAATCAAAAGTCCTGTAATGTATTTTTGTAAAGGATCAACTATCACACAATGTCTTTTATACTAATGATTTTGTTCTGAATAAATTAGCTTGTCTGTAGGATAAATGCATGCAGTAACACTGTGAAGTAAAGGATGATAAAACTAGTCCCTGAAGTTAACTTTCTTTAGGATGGTCTTTATCCTTGGTCTCTATCTGCTGGTCCTAGATAAGCCTATACTCTGAAAAGAAAAACTCTTAAAAGTCAAGAATGAGATAGCTAATGAAAGAAGAATTATGTCCACCCATCCATCTTTAAAAATTAGGATACTAGTGTTTTCTAATAACAAGAAGTTTAGAAGTTCATATTAGCACACAGGACAAAAGTCAGTATGTGCTAATTATGTGGGATTATGAGTATCTCATATGATAAATATTAACCAGTATCATCAAAAGAAATTTATCCAACATTTGTAAACATTTGTTTAAAAAGCAAAAAATCCATTTTTAGCTTTGGCCAGTTTTGCAGCAACAGTTAGCCTAATGATGCCATTTATGAGTTCAAAACTTTACCACCTTTGCAAGGATGCACAAAACTCAGATAGCTACACTAAGTTTTTCACCTCTCCATTAAGCTTTGAGATCTTTAAATGTTTTTCAGTGGAAATAAATTTTACAAAATGTGGTCAATTAGTAATTCTCAGCTTGGCTGTGTACTTAGATCATCTGGGAAGCTGTTAAAATTTTCAATATCCAAACCACACATCTCAAACTAATTAAATCAGAGTCTCTGTGGGTAGGACCCAGGCATCAGTCTCTGTTAAGCTGCCAAGTAATTATAATATGCAGTGAAGCTTTTAGTTTTTTGTTTGTTTGGAGTATGGCCAGCATGGGGATCCAAACCTTTAGACCTTGGTGTTACAAGATGGCACTTTAACCAGCCCCGCAGTGAAGCTTTTTAACCACTGACTAGGTACTATGATTTAGGCAGCCAGTTCATGTCGTTCTTCTCCATTGCTTTTTGATGACTCAATATCCAAAAAGTTTCAACTGCTGCTTTTCCGAGCCTGAAAAATTGAGTTAATGTAGATAACCAAAATGGTATTAGATCCAAGGCATTTCTTTTGTGCTTGCTCATTTCAAATCCTGCACAGATGTTGATTTATTGTTTAAAGATTAGGATAGCTTTTCTACACTTCTGTCCTTCACCAGATGAAGAATACACTCCAATTTTAGAATGCTATATAAAATGCACCTATATGATTCGTACTATTGAATATAACCAGTTGTACAGTTTATAAACTGTACATATATGTATATGCATTGCATATGTGTTATATTGCCACTTTGAAGATGTGTTCTGCTTTCATACTTTTTTTTCATAACTCTTCTGTTATTTTGCAACTTCTAATCACCATCACCTTTCTTTATTCCACTCTACTGCTTTTCACTAGTCTACTCTTCTGCATTTTAGTTTTAAAATACTATTTTATAGATAACTCTTGTTTCTCTTGCCTTTCTGCATAAAAACACTTATTTTCTAGATATTGCCCAAACATGGCCTCAAGAAAAATAGTAGAGATCAAAGATCTTGTTCTGAATATTTCATCATGTCTTCTCCCTAAATATTTCCTGTGCATGCATCTATTACAGATATCTCACTGTGTCACTCACTGGGCTGTGAACTGTGAACAAGGGCAGTGTTTACTCATCTTGGCATGAGTTAAACCAATACCTACCACATAGTAGGCTACATGAACATTTGTTGAAATAAACTGATAAAAGCTACACTTACACATACCAGAATTTATGTTGCTCTTACCAAAAGTGGTTATGATACTTCTTTGAAATTCAGATTTAAATGGATATGAATTAGGCAGTAGTAATTTTTTTTTCTTTTCCAGGTTTGTATTTCAGCAGTCGGAAAAGTTCGCAAAGGTGGAAAACCAATACCAGTTACTGAAAATAGAAACTGACGAGTTCCAAGGACTTCAAAGTAAAATCAGTTTAATTTCAGAAAAGGTAATTATTAATTGATTTATTTGGGAAAATTTTTCCATTTTACTTCCCCTCTACCATTCCTCTACCCCACCTCAGAACTTATTTCCTCCTGCCTTTTAGACCATTACTATTTTAACTCTGACTGGTCTTCCTACCTCCTGACATTCTCCCTCTGGCTCAACTTTGATTCAGATTGCATATTGAAAGGACAAAGTTTTTTGAATATAATAGTTTCTATTGTTCAAAAACACCAGTATGGCCGGCCCGGTGGCGCACTGCTACAGTGCGCCGCTTGGGAGCGCGGTGACGCTCCCGCCGAGGGTTCGGATCCCACATACAGACCGGTTCCGCTCACTGGCTGAGCGAGGTGCGGGTGCAGCACCGAGGGTTGCGATCCCGTTGCCAGTCCCGGTCCGGTACGGGCGCGACACTGAGGGTTGCGATCCGTTGCCGGACACGAACAAAAGACAAAAAGGAAAAAAAAAAACACCAGTATGTTTATCTTGACATGATGTTAGTTTTCTACTCAAGTGTTAGTTATCTAGAGCATTGAAAACATGGTTGATCTTTAGGTATAAAATTAGTATATGGATTCCATTTAATGGGAAAAGATCTATCAATTTTTTTCTTACTTTCCACTTTTTAAGCATGTATGCATGTGGATATAAGAATGAATAGCCTAAAAATAAGTATTGATTCTGTAGCCAAATAAAGAGTTCTCATGAAAATTAAAGTAACATGTCTATGTTGTGTTTCTTCAAGTTGCAAATGCTGATTTCCACCAACTGCATTATTACTGTGATTCTTAGAAATGTGAGACAAATAAGCATTTTTGTAATTCTCACACCTCTAAGAAAATGGACAGCTGTGATCAGTAAGGCATCATGTGGGCCTTGTCTGGCTTCCAGGGTCCAAGCTATCATTGGGAAACATGCCTTGTTTGTTTGTTTATTCACTTATTCACTAAGCCTTTACTCATGTCATCAAGTAGACAAGGACTTGTGCTTGGCACCAGGTGGGTGAGAATGTAACAATAATAGAGATAAAATAGAGGGTCTGAGTCCCTGCAGCTCCATGCACAGGATGAGCATTCAATCTCCCAAAAAGAGAAAAACCATGGATGAAAATTAAGCATCCCTCCCACATGCCACGGTATTCCACTGGAGGGTGAACTTACGGGCTCCAGGAAGGAGCTGCAAAGGAGTTGGCATTTTGACATAGGACTCAAGCTGAAATCTGGTTGTGGTTGTTGGGGGCACTCTAACATACTGGTAGGAAAAATTCCAGGAGCTAGAAACTTTATATATTTAATTAAAAGCTGTTGAAAACAAATTTTCAACGAAGTTATATTTCCTTTTTAAATGAAAATTTTGGGTGGCAATTAAAGTGCTTTTGAAGATTTTTAAAATATCATAGAATCCAAGAAATATTCAGTCTTTTCATAGCACTTTCTCTCCCAGTCTGCCCTGGGAGTAGTTCAATAATAGCTGCCTTTTCACAAAACTGGCCCTAAAGGCCAGCATGATGCAGTAGGAGAAGAACAGCTAAATGTGGGCTCTCATCACAACTGTGAGACAAATCACTCTAACTTCTCCTGACCGCTAGTTCATCGTTTATTAAGTGAGAAATAAGATTTTTTAAGGATCAGATGAGATATNAATTACTTTTGTAAAAGTTTTTTATAGCATTTGCTACGTACAAGAGGTCAAAAGATCTTTAAACAAATCATATAATGGTGTTTTTTTCTTATCCAGTATAACTTTCTCTATAAAGCATTTATACTGTAAAATCTTGGCTAACTCCATTTCTGGCTTTTTTCTTTTTTTGTTAGTATAGTTTTCGCTAAAAGACAGGGTTATACTTAAATGTCCTGCTTTTTAAAAAATGGAATGTGGTCTGTGTTTTCCAGAACATTAGGTATTGTGCTAAACATGAAGCTATAGGTAGTATGAAACATAGAGCTAAGTGGGTACTGACCCTAATAGCCCTGGAACTTCCTTTCTTTCAGAAGTTCCATAATAACAACTCCCTCTGGTTATTTGCCTCTTTTTCATTATTAAGTTGAGATAGAGGCGTAGGAAATCCTATATTTACAAGTCTTCTGTCAGCTGTCTGCCACCATTTAAGATTCCTAAAGGAGCTATGCAGAGGCAATGCACACCACTCATTACCACAGAGCCCTAAATCTGTATGAGGTCTCTGTAGACTGCAATAAATTATGAAGGACTCAGGAAGCTTCTTTTTGTAAGGCCTACACTACAAGCCAGTTAATCTCCTGGATCCCTTTCTCCTATATCTAACACTTGAAAGGTGTTACCTATGTGACAGTGAGGTGAGGCCCAATAACAGGGTAAGAGAGTGCTTCTCCTTTAGTGACCTATATGTGGTCTAATCCACCTGTTCCATCCTTCATTTGCTATAAACCGACCCTGGTTATGCTTAGTGTTCAATGGGGGACAGGCCTGGGGCTTCTATCAAGCACAAGTAGAAGGGAGCCCTGCTCCTTTATACAACCAGAGACACGTAGGAGGGATGAAAGAGCAGCTGCACAAAATACTCCAAAAGAAAGGGCCAAGGTAATTAAAGAGAATAACTGATGTGTTACACTCTAGGCATTGTTCTAGGAGCTTTTATAAATATGAACATATTTAATCTCTACAAACACCCCTATGAAGTAAGCATTATATCCCCACTTGACAGATGGGGAAACAACAGCAAAGAAGTTATTTAACTTGCCCAAGGTGGTTACACAGCTAGTAAATGGCAGATCCAAGGTAGTCCAGCTACACACTTAACCAGTATGATATGTCACCTCCCTTTGATATTAATCCAAAAGAGCCCAAGACCTGGAATTAGAGACCCCTAATCCAAAATATTTATGGTTCTCTTCTTCTTTCTAGTAGTAGCTGTACCCCTTAGCAGATCCCAATTATTTGTCTCTTACCCTCATCTAAATGGGAGTATGCACCTGACTCTTGAAATGAAGCAACTTCAGCACTAACCTGGTGCCAATGTGAAAACTTAGTTTTTCATAACTGAAACAGCCTTCTCTCAGTATTCCTTCTTGACTTCTAGAGAATCAACCATCCTCTTCCTTAATGTTAAATGAATTAATATTTATAAACTGCTTAGAATAGTGTCTGGCACATATAAGTGAAAAATAAAATGTATTTTAACTCATCAGCACCATATACACCACTTCATTTTTTTCATTACTAGCACTAAATCAACTTTGTGCTTGATTTTTCTTATATGCACTATTTATATGTAGCAAGGGTGAATCTTTTATTTTGGTAAGAGGCTAATCATAAAAAAAAAAAAAAACTACAAATTATCATCAGAGATGATATTTCCACTAACAGGACACAGTTTTCTTCAAGCTTTTGCTTAATGCTTCAATTTGACAAGTCCATAGATAGACAGCATTAAAAATATTTAATGAAATCAAAAGTCCTGTAATGTATTTTTGTAAAGGATCAACTATCACACAATGTCTTTTATACTAATGATTTTGTTCTGAATAAATTAGCTTGTCTGTAGGATAAATGCATGCAGTAACACTGTGAAGTAAAGGATGATAAAACTAGTCCCTGAAGTTAACTTTCTTTAGGATGGTCTTTATCCTTGGTCTCTATCTGCTGGTCCTAGATAAGCCTATACTCTGAAAAGAAAAACTCTTAAAAGTCAAGAATGAGATAGCTAATGAAAGAAGAATTATGTCCACCCATCCATCTTTAAAAATTAGGATACTAGTGTTTTCTAATAACAAGAAGTTTAGAAGTTCATATTAGCACACAGGACAAAAGTCAGTATGTGCTAATTATGTGGGATTATGAGTATCTCATATGATAAATATTAACCAGTATCATCAAAAGAAATTTATCCAACATTTGTAAACATTTGTTTAAAAAGCAAAAAATCCATTTTTAGCTTTGGCCAGTTTTGCAGCAACAGTTAGCCTAATGATGCCATTTATGAGTTCAAAACTTTACCACCTTTGCAAGGATGCACAAAACTCAGATAGCTACACTAAGTTTTTCACCTCTCCATTAAGCTTTGAGATCTTTAAATGTTTTTCAGTGGAAATAAATTTTACAAAATGTGGTCAATTAGTAATTCTCAGCTTGGCTGTGTACTTAGATCATCTGGGAAGCTGTTAAAATTTTCAATATCCAAACCACACATCTCAAACTAATTAAATCAGAGTCTCTGTGGGTAGGACCCAGGCATCAGTCTCTGTTAAGCTGCCAAGTAATTATAATATGCAGTGAAGCTTTTAGTTTTTTGTTTGTTTGGAGTATGGCCAGCATGGGGATCCAAACCTTTAGACCTTGGTGTTACAAGATGGCACTTTAACCAGCCCCGCAGTGAAGCTTTTTAACCACTGACTAGGTACTATGATTTAGGCAGCCAGTTCATGTCGTTCTTCTCCATTGCTTTTTGATGACTCAATATCCAAAAAGTTTCAACTGCTGCTTTTCCGAGCCTGAAAAATTGAGTTAATGTAGATAACCAAAATGGTATTAGATCCAAGGCATTTCTTTTGTGCTTGCTCATTTCAAATCCTGCACAGATGTTGATTTATTGTTTAAAGATTAGGATAGCTTTTCTACACTTCTGTCCTTCACCAGATGAAGAATACACTCCAATTTTAGAATGCTATATAAAATGCACCTATATGATTCGTACTATTGAATATAACCAGTTGTACAGTTTATAAACTGTACATATATGTATATGCATTGCATATGTGTTATATTGCCACTTTGAAGATGTGTTCTGCTTTCATACTTTTTTTTCATAACTCTTCTGTTATTTTGCAACTTCTAATCACCATCACCTTTCTTTATTCCACTCTACTGCTTTTCACTAGTCTACTCTTCTGCATTTTAGTTTTAAAATACTATTTTATAGATAACTCTTGTTTCTCTTGCCTTTCTGCATAAAAACACTTATTTTCTAGATATTGCCCAAACATGGCCTCAAGAAAAATAGTAGAGATCAAAGATCTTGTTCTGAATATTTCATCATGTCTTCTCCCTAAATATTTCCTGTGCATGCATCTATTACAGATATCTCACTGTGTCACTCACTGGGCTGTGAACTGTGAACAAGGGCAGTGTTTACTCATCTTGGCATGAGTTAAACCAATACCTACCACATAGTAGGCTACATGAACATTTGTTGAAATAAACTGATAAAAGCTACACTTACACATACCAGAATTTATGTTGCTCTTACCAAAAGTGGTTATGATACTTCTTTGAAATTCAGATTTAAATGGATATGAATTAGGCAGTAGTAATTTTTTTTTCTTTTCCAGGTTTGTATTTCAGCAGTCGGAAAAGTTCGCAAAGGTGGAAAACCAATACCAGTTACTGAAAATAGAAACTGACGAGTTCCAAGGACTTCAAAGTAAAATCAGTTTAATTTCAGAAAAGGTAATTATTAATTGATTTATTTGGGAAAATTTTTCCATTTTACTTCCCCTCTACCATTCCTCTACCCCACCTCAGAACTTATTTCCTCCTGCCTTTTAGACCATTACTATTTTAACTCTGACTGGTCTTCCTACCTCCTGACATTCTCCCTCTGGCTCAACTTTGATTCAGATTGCATATTGAAAGGACAAAGTTTTTTGAATATAATAGTTTCTATTGTTCAAAATGACCGCTAGTTCATCGTTTATTAAGTGAGAAATAAGATTTTTTAAGGATCAGATGAGATATAATATATATGCAAACTCCAAAAACTTTCAAGCACTAATAAATTTGAGGTATCTCTTTTTTTAAAAAAATGTAGAACTATTAGAATATATTGGAATTCATAAATGCTAGTTACTGTGGTATACCAATCACTAAATATTTGCAGATTAAATCTTGAGACTTTTTTATTCCAAAAAGTTGATCTTGTACTTGGAGTGTGCTGCCTCTAGATTGCAGTGATGCTCTGGTAAACAGCCTAAACAGGAAATTACCATAGGTGAAGATAAGCTTGCCTCTTCAAAATACTGCTAATAGAACAACTAAACCTAACCGTATTGCCAATGTACAAGTATTTCTCAGAATTGGTTTTTAAAGGAACTTTTATTATGGCTACGTGTGTACGTTAAAAATAATTTTTAAACAACATTTCAGAGTGGTCTTATTAGTCAGTACTGTTACATGCTGTTTTCACCTGTCACCTGGAACTGCCTTAGGTCTTGACTGGAGCAAGCCCGGAAGGCCTATTGCCATTCTTCTTCCCAAACATCAACAAACACGTTCTTTGTACTCTGAGATATGGGGACTACAAAAAGGCATAAGTTATGCTCTCTTCCCTTAAGGAATTTAGAAGCTTTCACATCTTTTCACATCTTCTTCACCTGGCTAATTCATCAGTGTGCTAATGAGTCAGTTTTGAGTCATGTCTAAGCCTCCCTCATTGTGCTCCTGACTTCCTATCTCTCCTCTAAGCATTCATTGCTGCCTGTGCTAATTATGTCATAATACTAACTATCATCTGTTGTGATTTTTGTGTTATTAATTTGTTAGCATCCTTTACTCCTCTGTAGAGTAAACACTGCATCTTTTATCTCTATTTCCCTAGCACCTAGTGATGGGACTAGCTCCTGTAGGAGACTCGATAGATACTATTGGGACTCTAGAATATGTGATATGGAAGATCCAAGATGCTATTTCTTTATCAAATTGTGAAATCAGGGACTGTGCTGTATTTGTATTTTATATCCAGAGTCTAATACCAGGTCTGGCACAAAATGAACACTGAAAATTTTTGAATTATATATGCTAAATGCCAAAAATGTGGCAAATACAGAATATAATGTGCTATGGGAGTTCAGGCTTTCAGGGCAAAGCTTATAGAACAATGCTGCACTGAGGAGCTGAGATCTGGTCTGAGCCTTGAAGTAAGGATGGAATGTAGCTAAGCTAAGAAGAGAGGAGAATAGCATAGGGAGAAGTTATGGAATTTGGGACTTTATCCTAGAATTATTAGGAACAAACATCAAAGGTTTAACAGTGTACCATGACTGCATAGCAGTTTTTAAAAGCTTAATATGGGGCTGGCCCAGTGGCTCACTCGGGAGAGTGCGGTGCTGATAACACCAAGGCCCCGGGTTCGGATCCCATATAGGGATGGCCGGTTCGCTCACTGGCTGGGCGTGGTGCTGACAACACCAAGTCAAGGGTTAAGATCCCCTTACCAGTCATCTTTTTAAAAATAAATAAATAAATAAATAAAATAAAAATAAAAGCTTAATATGGGCTGGCTGTTTAGCACAGTTGATTAGTGTGCAGCCCTTATTAACACCAATCTCTCTAGGGTTCAATCCCTGTACCAGTCAGCTGCCAAAAAAAACAAAAAAAAAACTTAAAAGCTTAATATGGTAGTAGTGTGTAGGATGATTTAGAAAGGAAGTGTGACTAGAAGCAGACGTTAGGTAATATTTCTTCTAGAATACTTTCTTGATCATTGAAGTCTGGGTTGGATCTCCATCTAAGTGTTTCATAGTTCTTTCCCTGTCATAGTGCATGTAGACTTGTCTTTCTCCCTAATTAAATTAAGCTGCTTAAGGGAAGAACTGTGTCTTACTCAGTATTATGTCTTCAGCACAACGCTGCAAACTTTTGATAAATTAATGATCTAGGCTTTCCCGTAGTCTCTAAAGCTGTCATCTATGTGTAAGTGTAGACTAAAAGAGGCCCATGACCTGGCCCTTCTATATTCCAGATACGTATTAGAAGGTGCCAGGGGCTTACCATAATTTATAGATACTTAGAACACTGTACCATTTGATGTGACTTGTCTCACTAAACTGGTTTTATAAGCCATGTTTGTTTTTGTGTCTACAAAATCTGGTTCTAATACATTCTCTGCAAGAGGTTGATCAAAAAAAATTTTTTTGAGACAGAAAATCTTCCAGACTCGTAGGATTTAGGAAAGGTAACAAATTTTATACTAAGTTGCAGTTTCTAAAAAGCTAAATAACCGTAAAAATGATATCTAAGTTATTTCCCATTCAAGTAAGAAAGAGGAAAATGTGACATACTTCAGGCTTCATTAACATTATTTTTTCTCTTGAACATGCGTCCATGAAAACACACAAATATCTAGGATTATAAGTTCTGGTATATATTTTTCTAACATAGGACTAATCTATTAATTTTTTTAAACAGCTATTAAAGTAATAAATGTTTTTGTCAGTATGATTCTGATATACTTGGATATTTTAGACATCTTCAGAATTTGAACTTGGCATGTATTATGCTCCTGATTGTTAAAGTGTGTTTCTCTAATATAAAAATTATTAAGTAGCCTTGGGAATTGTTTTGTGTTATAAATGCAGCTTGAGTCTACTGAAAGTATCCTGCAGGAAGCTACATCATCCATGTCTTTGATGACCCAGTTTGAGCAGGAAGTATCCAGCCTCCAAAGTATCATGGATGACATTCAAAATAGTGAAGACACACTCACTCAAAAGATGCAAATCCTTAATGAGAAATTCCAGAATATTACGGATTTCTGGAAGAGAAGCCTAGAAGAAATGAATGTTAATACAGACATTTTCAAATCAGAAGCAAAACATATACATTCTCAAGTTACTGTCCAAATTAACTCAGCTGAGCAAGGAATAAAATCACTCACTGAACGGCTAAAAGATTTGGAAGATAGCACACTAAGAAATATTAGAACAGTAAAAAGACAAGAAGAAGAAGATCTTCTGCGAGTAGAAGAGCAACTTGGCTCTGATACAAAAGCAGTTGAAAAGTTAGAAGAGGAACAACACGCTCTCTTTGCCAGAGATGAAGAACTGACTAATAAACTTTTCAATTATGAACCCAAAGTCGAAGAATGCAAGACACATTTGCCAACAATCGAAAGTGCCATTCACTCTGTTCTCAGAGTCTCTCAGGATCTGATCGGAACAGAAAAGAAAGTGGAAGACCTGACTATGCAGATGTTTAACATGGAAGACGATATGCTGAAAGCAGTATCTGAAATAATGGATATGCAAAAAACTCTTGAAGGAATTCAGTATGATAATAGCATATTAAAGATGCAAAATGAACTGGATGTTCTGAAAGGAAAAGTTCATGATTTTATAGCATATGCAAGTAAAAAAGAAAAGGAAACTTTAGAAGAATATAATCTAGAAAACAAAGGAATTAGTAGTGATTTTTAAATTCACTGCATTTATTCCAATGAACCATATTATTATACATAAATTGATTAGTTCCATGTTTTTTAGTTATTTTGGTATGCCTCACTTTATCTTACATTATTGGAAAAATAAGTGAGATGTGCACACAAATCCATGTAAAAAAAGCTTAGCTTTTTAAGCACTAAAATTTATTTCATTTTAAATATAAATAGCTCTAAAATACATATTCTCTACTTTTCAGAGCAACAGGCTTAATCTTTTAAAATGTTTTTTCTAATAATTAATGGACATCATTATGAATTTTACGTATTATATTGGACCTAAATACATTGATGTCTCTAGGAGCTATTGGAGAATGTTTATTACTTCACTAAATGACCCCAGTTTGCTATTTTTCAAACCTATGTCTGTTTCTTATACCTTTTCTATCACTTGATCTTAATGTCAGGTTGGTTGGCAATGTGCCTTCCTCAGCCAGTTCTTTTCTTTGTAATTCACTGCAGGCTAAGAATCCAGATAACCAAGTTCACAGGAGTTTTGTCTAAAATAAAAGATAACATGCCTGAAGGAAAACCTGGAAGTTTTGCTATGAATTAATATGCACTTTCTGGAAATTAGGAAGCCAGGGAAATATTTTACTTTTTGTTAAGTTTCTAAACTGTGTTACACATATCTGTTAGAATTTTTATTTTTTATTTTTGGCTGCTGACCAGTATGGGGAATGGGATTCAAACCATTGTCGTTGGTGTTACCAACACTTGTTCTAACCAACAGAACTAACCAGCCAGCCCAGAATTTTTAAATACAAGTAAATAAATAAATAAATGTTCTTATTTAAGGCCTTTCCTGTGAATTCAGTGTGTATGCTTTGAAGTATGAACTTTTGTAATATCTTTGTGTACCTGGGCTTTTTTTTTTTTTTTTAAGGTTCTATCTGTGTTAGACTCAAGTTTGCTAGATACGTGATCTCTATATATGCACAATAAAAATATACCAATAAACCTGTGGCCTGTTTTAAAGAGGAAAAAGTGGCATAGCAATTAATAATAATTATGATCATTAAAAGTATGTCATGATTTCAAAGATTCCCCAAACTACCAAACTAAGTTTGTCTTACATATTGATTTTATTTTATTCAGATTTATATGATGTAGTCAACTGCATATGGAAGTCCTGCTCTTGTTTCTTTTTGCCAGTAACCATCCCAGTTCTATAATGCAGTTTCAGTGGAATTAAACGCACAGAACTTGAAAGCAGTCAGTTACAAAAGGTAGTTGTTGCCACTTGGTTTTACTACGTAAATTTGCAAGTTTTTGGCGAAATTCCAAATAAGTTCTACATTGGAGTTCATAGCCATGAGTCATAAAAATAAGCCTGGAAGAGTGCTACTATTAAGGGCCATGGCATTATTTTCTGAAATCTTAACATTAAATCTCTTGACTTCTGAATGTCTTAAGTTTTTATCTGTGTGCACTGACAAAATTATATTTTTTTGCTTTTATGTTAATGCCAATAAAATAGATTACAAAATTAGCCGGAACTTTTTGTTTCCCTCTATCATGTCAGGGCAGATGTGATCTCTTTCCTTGCATTCTTTTAATAACTTTTTTTTGCCTGTCACCAGATTTGATACAACTTTATTATGAACTTGTGTATACCATGGTAATCGTTACTGAAAGTAAGTGGAAACAAGGTGGCCACTGTGCTCTGTAATGACCCTTACAAGGGAAACAAAAACTGCCCTTCTACAAATATTACATGAGAGAACTATTGATGTGTATGTGTATATATGTATATATTCCTTTACTAAGAGGTTTTCCTATTAAAAAATTGTCAGAGAGATTTAAATGTGGCTGTCTTTCTCTTTATTCCATTCATTTATTTAACACAGTTACTTGAAATTTCAAAACCTTCTCTGTGTATCAAATATTAAATTACATTGTTAGTCTTTTCTTTAAAGAAAATTACCAATATTCTAAGGCACATTTTTGCATCTTTGTAATTGAAAATAAATTTTATATCAATTGGTTATTAAGAGTACTGGGTCCATTTTTTAAAAAAATTAGCACAAATAATATATTTTTAGCAATATTTCCTTATGTTTTACTTAATGATGAGAAGTTGCTGACTAAGTGTACTTTCATATTTTATCATGAAAAATGTTGATTTATTAGCCTGTACAACTTCATAGAAAACTTAACCTGTAGGATACAAAGTTAATGATATTATTTTTAATCTCAACCTAATTGTAGACCTTTGTATGACTGTATAATCTTGATCAAAGTTTAATATGATGTCATTATACAATAATGATGCTTTAAATTCATGAAACACACATAAATAAACCCTTATTTATTTATAGACTTACCTCATATTTGCACAGTTGACAAAAGCTCTGCAAATTCTCCCGGCATCTGTTTGTTTCAGTTAAGCTATGAGTATTAATACAAATCAAAATGCTCTGTCCCAGCTTTACACAGCAGAGGAGGAGAGAATTAACCCTCACTGCAGCTTTGCTAGCTGTTAGACCCATTTTACAAATAATGATATCAAGGCTAATTCCTAATGATATTAGGAATCTTGCAATCACACTGCTAGGTCTGTCCAACTTCAGAGGCCGAGGACCTCCACCATACAATGCAACTCACTGCTGCTGTTCAACCAGAGGAGGAAAACACACACACACATACACACACAAGAAATTTGCTGACAGTAGGACTATCTTGAGAATTCAAAAAGCAATAATTCAGCCAAATGTGTTCTCTACCATGTCACCATTAAACTAAACTATAAGTCCTTCAAAAGCTGTAACTATGCTCTAAAATTGTTTGGGCTTCGGACATAAGAAGGAATCAATAAATGCTGGTCACTAACTGTGTGTGCTTGGGCACTTTATTTGGGGACTTAGTTTTTAAATAGTAAAATGAAATCATTGTACCAAATAATCTGTAAGATTCCTTCTGGCTTTAAGTAGTTTTAAATTGTAGAAATCAATAAAATTTCTGGTCTTTTAGTAGAATTCAGAGATCCTTTAGCAAAGTTTTTGGAAAGTAGATGGGACATAGAGATTGTTTTCTTGAACCATATTCCTGCACTTGTAGATCCAGACAATATTTAATGTAACAGGACAGCATCTAGTTTAGTACTTGCATATATGATAGGAATTTGATAAATATTCAAATTATTGATGGAATCTTTCGAGCTACTGATAGATACTCTAACTCTTCTATCCATTCTAGGCATAGTTCAAATAAGCCCTAAGTAACTTTTAAAAATAATTTAATACAACAATTTCTAGACAATTACCACACTGTATTTAGTTTATATTTCAGTAAATGTTAGTAGAAGTTTATGATAAATTCGTTTATAAGCTACCAAGCTAAACAAAGAGGTTTACTAGCCTTAGTTTAATGATCTTATCCTTCTAAGAATAAGCTAAGTGCTTTCTTAGTATCTTAATTGTGTATGCTGTTAAGCTACATTATCAGAAGACTGTTTTTAAAAAAAAGATACATTTACACTGCCAGAATAGATACATTAATAAATGATAACCTAGTAATGAAATAGATGAAAGTAAGCTATCTACTCCTTACACCCTTGGAAGACTCTGTTTCAGCAAATACACTATATTGCAAAGCTTTCTCTTTAAAAATAACATGTTGTTTTGCAATCACTACTTAATTTCCTTCCTATTTGTGGCTACTTCTTAATGTCATAACCACGATAACATTTTCATAAGCTAACTTCTCTACCAAAAAACACATTTTGGTCCACCTCCTTCACCTGTAATGTCGCATAAAACTATTGAGTAGAAAAATCCTAAAATATATTTTGAAACCGAAGAGAGAGAGAAGGGAGAGAAGGGGGAATGCTACTTTGAATTCACTGTGCTACTGCTCCATTTCAGCAGTTCATTGTAATTCTTTTGGAACCATATAGCTATTTCTTTTTAAAGCCACCATCAAAATAATATTCTGAGCATATTACATCTTTATGTGCATTAGGCAAAACTAAATTTTTGTTAACCAAAATAATCACAAAAGGTTAGCTGAGTAAACCAAATACAGCTTAAGAAAGATGATTTTTAAGAATTGAAGAAATACACAAGTATTTTAGGGAAAGAAAGTATGTCTTTAGATTAAACTGCATATCTTATTTTGTAAAAATGTTTTTGCAGCCTACATATTAGCCTTTTTAGTTTTTGTTTTCTTTTGAGTTTTAAATAATCCGTTTATTGTTTTTGTTTCCTTAGCTAAAGTACAAACATTCTGAAAGCAGAGACCATTCCATTCTTTCATTCTAACACATTCTGCCATTCTAACACATATTATAGCACAGTAAATCTTGTCAAATAAAGCTAGTTTTGATTATTAGTAGAAATCTATAGACAATCTCTTATTTTAAAACATTATGCTTTTGGGCCGCTTCTGCCGAGGGTTCGGATCCCACATACAGACCGGCCGCTCACTGGCTGAGCGAGGTGCGGGCGCAGCAC